CAGTTTCCTCTAATTAACAATAAAAACAAATGTATAAAAGATTTTTTTTTTAAGTCATGTGTCTAAACTGATTGAACTATTGTAATGCAGAACTTATCCCCCCAACACTGGACATAGCTGAAAAATATGTTGGCTTCAAACTGCTTTGACCTGTGAAAGTGGTACTTTTTCAATGTGCTGATGGGCTACTTCCCTTCTGTCTTCCTGTGTATTCCACCATCCCCGCCATGGGGGGAAAAGTAACAGCTCCAGTTCAGAAAATGTACCAGAACAAGGAGAGAAAACAACTGCAATGTTGAAAATATGACACAGCATACATTCATCTGAATACTAAGAGCTGAAGACCCATTATGTTGATAGAACAACTGGTAATTTCACAATAGTAAGAAATTATGCATAAAATACGTATGCAATTCTATAATTTCCCTCCATGGCTTGCTAAGGCTGTTGTAGCTCCAGGAGATATTAGACACTACCCATAGCGTTGTGATCCAATTCAACAATGTGAATGGTGTCCTCAACAGGATACCTTTGTACCTCAATGGGGTCACTTCTTTCCTCAGGGAGCTATAGAATTGCACTTTTCCTGCGCTCATGGTCTGGCAAGGAGTTCAATGTAAAAAACTACTTAGAACTCAGGTTTCCAAGCTTCAACGTGGGAATAATCTACGCAACTGTGCCTCACAATTGCTCTTGTGTCGTGGCTAGGGATGGTTGCCTTTTAACGGTGAAGAACTAAAAAAAGGTTAAGTTCTGGTTGGACTTATGGCGTTAGTGATTAAACGCAACTGAGCTTTTTGTATGTAGTTTTCTTCTACATTTATTCTATTTCTTCTTCTTCTATTGTGTGTACTTGGTATGGTAGAAATCGTATTAAGTCATTTTTTTATGACTCGACTTTCACCATGAGCCAAAGCAAATTCCTAGTTTGTTACTTTCTGATACTTAAAATGTCAATCAAATAATTCTGATTAATTAATTAATTATCCTGTAAACAAACACCAACACATGTATTCTGAACGATGGGATTTAGAAACTCAAAAGCAGCAGTAAGTACAAAAGCAATAAAAAGAGAAATGTGTGTGTTTTCTGTTCTGAAAACATAATCTATGAGGGTGTCCTCCTGTGACTTGACCTCATCTTTATCACGGTGACATAGAATATAATATTATAATCAGCTAATTGAAATAAGTTTAAGGGCTGATGCCAGTACCCCGTGTTGGGCTCATTTTAATGCACAATAAAATGCATATATTCAAATCTATTTTCTGACTTTATTTTACTAAAGTGCTACAAATTCTGTACAATCTATGGTATGGTCCTTGGTATCATCAAGTACTGAAAAAAAGTATTTTGAAGTGGTATCCCAAATCACTGGATTAATCGATCAAAATAATCAAAATAATCAAAGCTCTGCCCCTAGTTCTGTATATTCCAAATAATAAGTAGTTATTTTTCCACATGATGTTAATGCGTCATAATATCCAAGATAAAGTTGAGAAATGTAAACACCAAAATGAGAGTATCTGGCAGTAAAAGGTGCACATACTTTATGTCAGGTAGCAACAAGGTGAAGAAAAAAAAGTTGCACCACTGCAGTGACATCTAAACAATAATCCCTTTGTGCTTAATCAAGACCAAATTCCATCGTTAACACTGAACCAAATCTGCCCAGCGTTGTCACGGCAGCACCATGTGGACTTCGGCCCAGCCTCAGCGCCACGCTCTGTGGACTGTAGGCACTTTATTGAGAGGCACTGGCTCATATCAACGACCTGCCATGGAAATGCAGAGCTAAAACTAACAGCAAAGTAAGTACCCCAACACTAGGCCTCCTGATTTGCAGTCCCCTCCATAGATTACAATTCAACTCAAAACAATGTAATTATGATATTTTTTTGGCTAAACGTCTATGAATATGGCAAATAAACAATATTTGAAGTCAAAAGCTTGCAAAAAGGCTTTCAAACCGTTTACCAACACCAAAATATTGACTTAATATATACAAAATGTATTGAGGACAAACCTCCAGATTACTCTTTAGGGCATGTTCACCGTCATTGGTCTGCTTTAGTTTATTGTTATGTAAGTGTATTTATTTATTAACATTTATGGACATTGGTCATCTGGGTTTTCAGTTCAGTTCAGTTTACAATTCTGCTGTTTATAGATCTGTTTCAAAAGATACAAGCTGACTTAAGCAGTCTACTGACACATGTTCACTTGTTTGGTTTTACGGCCACAAATAAAGCATTTTTCCCCAAGAGAACCAGAATTGGCCCTGAGACCAAGTCTGAACGCACACCAGTTCTCAATAAATACCATAGAGACTGGCAGATTTGTGTACCCTTTAGAGTAACAACCCTGGTAACATGCCAAAAGATGCACAATTTAATTATGATGATTATTATGGGTGGATTTTAGGAGGAACAGTGCATTACAAAATGAAAATGCTGCTCCATCATCATGCAGAATTATGTACTTACAAACTCATCCTCAAAACCCCCTGTAGTGTGAAGGTCATGCTCACAATAAGTCTGCAGCTTCCCACAGTAAGGACCTACATGTATTCTAACTACAAACATATGAGTTTTAATGTAATTTTCAAGCACTTGGCATTTGGTATTTATCTATTAAACACAAATGGCACAGAGCCAGCCCACCTCAAACAGACATACTTTGTGTTCCCCTGTTGCCATTCCTGTCCCTAACTAACTCTAACAAATGAACACACAATATACAATGATAGGAGGAGGGGGGTCCTTTCACCATACCAAACAAGCTACAAATAGTTGAGTTATTTAGGATCCCTGACATTTAGGGGCTATATATCACACAAGTGCAGGCATGTATTGTTCAACTCTATTGCTGAAAACAAAAAAACACAAAGTAGATGCATAAAACATGAAGGGTTTTTTTTCTCTAGCGCACAATGTATATTTCTGCCGCAACAAATGTGTGAGCCAAAGCTGTTTATGAGGCTTTCAGAATTTTCAGAGCACACTAATTTAGGCTTAGACAAACAAGTGTGCAGGCTATTAGACAAAAGAGTACACAATTCATTTACAAATGTTGTGTTCTGAGTTCATGCCAGATTTGTACACTGTGGCACTGAGTATGCTGCAGTCTTCTGCTCAGGGTGTGACTATTACCGAGCTATAACAGCAGCACAAAAGTGTTCAAAAGAGCAAATACGAATGGTCTTAGCTGAATGCTTACATCGAGATAAAATCACAAAAAAAGATGTATTCATCCTGTGAAATAAAATAAAAAAATTCAATAATCACAGCAGCAGTCACAAAGCTGCTAATAATACAGAGTGTTGTCATGATAATGTCACAAACTGGATTCCGATTATAAAACAGACTCGATGCTCGATGTTTGAAACTTTTAAATGGTACCAAAAAACTCTATTCTCTATTCAAAATCTCAAAAATTGTCCTCTTTGTATCAATACTTTCTGAAATGAGTATCTAGTTTTGATACTAATTTCAATATTGATTATCTGAGTTTCAATGACAGCCTTCACAGAACCAACAGAACTTTGACAATATTGGATTGTTTGTGCTTTAGCTTGGAAGATTTCCCTATGAAATAATAATTAAACATCCAATCAACAAAACACCTCAATTTGATTTCACGCAGTCCAGCCTACACACAGACACACTGAGATGATTACAATACCACAGGGCAAAAACAAGAAAGACAATCCCAGTCGACAGGTAAAAAGTTGTGATTACAAGCAATAGGATTAACTTTCTCATTACCATTAATATTATATTGTTTTAAAGAATATGACTGCAAAATATGTGTCTACCTCTTTGGAGAATGTCCGGAGCAGGGCTAAAAACCACACTGCCTCGATTGTTTTGAGTTTGCGTATTGTAAATATCAGCAAATTAGGAAAAACTAAAGTGTCCCAGATCTCAGGAATCTTTGATCATGTCAGTATGATTACAACAGTGTGAGTTCACTTCACACAGGGCTGAACAATGGCAAAATTAAAGAAATATATTTGAGACTTTGCCGACAAACATGAGAATTGCAATTAGATTTGAAATGTCTGCTTTCATAGCTGGCATCTGTTTGAAGCGACTATGAGGCTGATTTGAACTGGACCAAAAAAGTCTTCACAGCACTAATTTCAGTTCAAGGTTCAGGACGGCCAAGATTGAAAGTCAAAACTGTTACTGATCCCACAACAGGAAAACATGTTTTCACACAATTTATTTTTACAAACAGAAAGAGACTATTTTAATCACAACAATGTCTTTCATGGCAATACAGTTCTTTAGTAATAAAACACACCAGGTGGAGTCACAGCCACAGAAGTGAAGGCACGGAAATGCAGTCAATGACCAATCCCTGAAGCAACCGTTGAATTGATGGCGGAGCAATAAAACATTATAACAGTAGGTATGTGGTTTATGACTCACACTTTGGCATAACACATGTATAGCACATGTAACACTCGCTTGATAGTAACACAATATGATTAACAACTGTCAGGTGGATGGAAGTTATACACATGCACTTTTACTTTAGTAATTGTGTCCTCCCTGCTTCAATAACACAATCAAGTCGTGCATCACTGTCACCACCACAGTCACACCCTTCTCCTACCTCCAACCTTTACAGTATACCACATGGGCACACACACACACACACTAATGGAGAGAGTAGAGGTCCTCCATGGGCGATGTGAGGGGAATTTTAATAGCCTTCTGTCCTGCCAGGCACTGCCACCTTCCTTGTTACAATGCGGGAAGACAATTATGTTCACCTATGGGACCCCCGTGCGTAAATCAATACATGTTGCGTGCCATTTGCCAGTTTCTCAATGTTTCCAGCTTCTTAATCTACTTGTACTGCAGTGTGGATAAAACTACACGTGCTGCAATTGACCAAAACGAACCGGGAAGTTTACGCATTTCAGGTGGATTAGCCAATGCCCGGATTACATTCTACACGGTCAAACTGTGCAACAATGCGCACGCCACTCACTTGATGAAGTAGCTTGCTCCTTCGTCTGTGAATCCCTCTTCCCATCCTCGTGGTAGATCTACAACAGCAACAAACACATCGTGAGTGACCCGCCAGCGTAAAAAAAACACAAAAACAAACACATACAAAATGCTGCAGTACATATCTCCTCGTATGTCCAACAAGAAAATCACACAAGTTTGCTGCGTACCTGAGCGAATCATATGTCCAGAGTTTACAGGTTCTCCAGTGCGCGGATGTAGCCAAGTAGTAGTATGAGTTTTATCACTATACAAGAAAGACACCTGTTACTGATCGGTAATAAAGCAACAACCCAGACTCATAACTGTGCCATTGCCCCAAAGGTATAGCCCTAATCTCGGCTACAACGTGCTTACTTGATGAAGAAAACGCGGCCGTCCCTGCAAACTCCGTACGACCACTGGTCAGGTAAGGTGTCCCGTCCGAGAGGTGCCGCCATGATCCCTCTTCTCCGGGCTCGGTTTGTCCCCCCTTCGCCGTCTCCACAGACTTGTCCTGGGAGTTCACATCATAGCACCACCGCTAGGGCTGCATAGTTTTAAAGGGGACGAGAAGTGGAGTGCAAGGTTGTGTGGATAGACTTCCTGCGCGCGTCCGCTTCGCTTGGTGCTAACCTGTTATCCCCAGGCTAACGCGTAATGCTCTGTCTGGTTGATGATAAACTAGACCCGGAATGAAAAGTGAAGTTCACTGCGGAACTGCGTGGAGTGGAGAGGGCATCCAAAGTGCCAAGGATGGGGAGCGTCGTTGGCTGAGGTTTTATTGAGTTAATGCGTCCAATGTTTGTTTGGTGCAAATGACACACTGACACGCGCACTGACTTAATAACAAACTTAACAAAAGGTCTCATCTGAAATAATAAGATGGGTGTGTCTTTTATGGCCAATCATCCCAGTCTATGAGAACCGTCGACCGATGTGACATTTTTCTTTTTCTTATTAGGCTAGTGTTATTGCTCGGTCACCTAACTTTCAAAACCACAAACTTTTTTGCAGCTTACTTACAATGGTAATGAAATTAATTCTGATTTTAAGATTCATCTGGCCACAATTTAAGATTAAGATTGCAATTAAGAGATCAATTTATTAATTATTACTTTAAAAAGTTAGGTGCCTTTTTTCCTGATAAATAATTACAGCAACATAGACATGATAACAAATTAACCATAGTAGTGTGTTTCAATACTTGGTAAGGTGTACTATATTTATGGTAATCTCTTAAGTAATAATAAATAAATAAAAACCTCCCCTTGCTTCTCATCAACAACTTAATATATGTGGAACTATAAAGCAATAAAGTACAACTAGATAATAATAATCTGTGGGATAATGTGATGTTAAGATATATAATCATGGATCAATGCAAAATGGTTTGCACAATCATTTCCTTTGAAAGAATTGTATTATTTTGTGATAACACTCCTCCTGTGTGAGACTCTATCAGGACTCTCACAGTTGTGTTCCTTCAGTGTGCATATTGCAGTAGCAACCTGAGAGACCTGCTCATCCAATTATCCATATTTTCTTGTGCTATCATTTTTATAGCTTCTTTCACACCGCCATTTATCCATGCTAATTTCCAATTTGCACATGAGCTGATGCAGCCCAGTGCAACTCTGCAGTGTATGCTGCTGCTGCTGCTGCTGCTGCCTCTGCCAGTGGTTCACAATGCAGCAAGGTGACTCAATGTTATTGTCTCCTCCTCAAGAGCCCGGCTACAGATTCACACTTCAGTAAAGGTGTTGATGAAGAAAGAGCCATTTGGCATTTTTTCTTATGATGTTTGTTACACTCGAATCATAACGTGATTTTAGCCTAGAATTGTTGTTGAGATATTGAGTTATTAAAGAGGTGTGGGGAGAAATTCTAATAACAATTGCATATCATTGAGAGCCACTTGGATAAGCTGATTTATAATGCAACTTTTTAATGGATCTATTTCAGTCCAGATGATGAATCACCTTTCAGTTCACTCTGAGCTGCCTATTACGCGGCTTTTTTTCTGCCAGCAATCTTTGTCGTGGGCCAGCTGAGCAAATGATTCATGCACTTACGTTTTACTTTGGAAATTGGACTCTGACAATCATGGAGTTTTTTCTCTCTTATTAAACCCTGCCATCCTCAGCCCTGCTGTTTTAGTGAATTTTGTTATTGCGAAACTGTGAAAACACATTATGGCAATATATTGTGGTAAATTAATCATTTTAATTCATAACTTCACAATGTCGCCCTCTGCAGCTGAGAGTGTGTATAATCAGATATACACCAAAGACCACAATGTATGGCCTAGATCAGTGTCTCCCAAAGTGGGGTCCGCGGCCCCCTGGTGGGCCGCGAGGGTACTGCAGGGGGGCCGCGGGAGGTCATAAAAAAAAAAAATATATATATATATAATTATTTAACGTTAAATTTATAATGTTTTGTTTGTAATATTAAAATATTTGTGTTCATTATTTGACTTGAATAATCCACTGTAATCATTTTTGTATTACAATGTTTGTAGCAGAGGCAATTTTCCCCAAAATAAAATAACCAGAAGAGCCTATTCTTAATGTTGTCTTCTTGGTTATTATTTTGGGGGGCCACGCAGACCCGTCAGATTTTTAAGGGGGCCTCGGTGTTACTGAGTTTGGGAATGGCTGGCCTAGATAATTACATGTTTTTGTCTGCAAATGTGATCCTAGACAAACAATAACGTATGATTACCTTTACACCATTTTACTTTGGGATAGAGATTCATGAAGTGTATTAATTATAACGAATACTACTAATGATAAGGGTTGATTTTTATTTTCATTTAATTCACAAATAATCTTCAAATCGATTATTATAACTCCGCTGTTTGAATTAATGATTTCTGGATTTTATTTTTATGAAGCAACAACATGACCCACCTACATTTGCACTCGTCATGAAGCCACGTAAGGTTCAGTGCATCCTAACATGGTGCCCTATTGGATAGAACCCCTGAGTGATGTCAAAATGGGCCAATGAGAATCGTGCATGTGTCGGGAACAACCTACCGTGCTGTTGGTAGGAGAGCGCAGCAGATTATACTCCTCTCTACTGACACACACAGCGGCATATGGGATAGAGATGGGTTCCAGGATTCAGATAAAAGTGAGTATACACAAGTGACATGTATTTATCCGAACATCGGATATAGCAGGTGTAATTGTTAGCGTTTATCATACGTGAAAAGCCGGCATTTGCTTGGTCAAAATGCAGCGTCTAGTTGGCAAAGCTATCACTAACTAGAAGCTCCGTGGTTATTATTAGCCAATTACTCAATACACGCTTACACTGAGAACGATGACTTACTCTGAACTCAACTAAGTCGTGTTGAGTATGAATTCTCGTCACTGACACAACATTGAGACATGCATGTATTTTCATTTTGTTTCAGATGTGTTGGGCCTTCACCATCAGCTGGGTTGTGATGCTGCTGCAGATGATGTGTTTAGAGGCAGTGCCCATCAGCATAGACAAGACCAAAGTGAAGGAGCCAGAGCAAGTGGAAACTCCCCCAGCCAGTGTGGTGGGTACAACTGTAATATTATCTGCCTAGGATGTCATTTAGTTTAAATGTGTTATTGCCAACTCCGTCTATTGCACAATAACATTCATTAGATTCATTAGTCGCTTTTGTCAACATATGTTTCTTATAGAAGTTGCTGATGTCTGGTCAGAGATTCTATTTTATGTTGTAGCTATATATAACTTATTAGTGTATTACTGATTTTTCTGCAGATGGGTACATACAAGTATATATTTATTTTAAAGGAATATAGGAAGATTTTACTAAATTTTAGGAAAGACCTGCCTCCCTAAAACGTACGTGTGCTGTCTGCAACGCTCACACTAGCTCCCTTTCCAAGAGGATCTCCACTTTTTCCCAGAAACACTCGTCTTGTTTGATGAGCACAACGGCCTTATGTCACATATGGCCAGAATGACTGACAATTAGGAGGACCAGTTGGTTTCATGATCCACCTGGGAAAAGAAAATCCTCCTATATATCTTTAAGCTAAAGATAGACACTTTATATTTGTAAGTATAGAGTTGTGCTATACTTAATAATCACATATATTGTCTCTTGTTGTGTGCTCCGCATTACTACTGGTCTTTAACACTGACATTTCCGTACCGTGGGATGAAAAAAGGATCTCTTACTTAACAAATCTATTTGACGTGTGTTTTTTGTATTAATCAGAACTGAATGTTTTTTGTGATATGATTAATTTCAGAATTATCATTTGTTATCTGTTAATACAAATTATGCTGTTTTTAGGACACTGGGCTCCATTATGACCGGTATCTAAGAGAAGTAATAGATTTCTTAGAAAAGGATCAACATTTTAGAGAAAAGCTTCATAACACAGACATGGAAGACATTAAAGTAAGTTGCTTTTATTCAATTCTTCCATTTTTACGTTTTTTGTTCTGTAGTGTTGACTGATTCATTGTTGCTGATTTGTTAGCAAGGTAAACTTGCTAAAGAGCTGGATTTTGTTGGCCATAATGTCAGAACAAAACTTGATGAATTGAAAAGACAAGAGGTGAACAGACTGCGCACACTTATCAAAGCAAAACAGGATATTGAAGGAGGAAATGGTGAGTGTTGTGTTACCTCCAAGCATTATTGCATAATGTATTACAAACTTTAATCTTAACTGTACTGTTGAAAAGACATGGCTGTGGATCACCAAGCTCTGTTAAAGCAGTTTGAGCACCTTAACCACATGAACCCACATACATTTGAAGTAGATGATCTAGACCGCCTCATCAAATCGGTAAATTCACATTGCATTTCCTCTAAATGTAGTTTATGTTTATATGAATGCATCTGCTTGATTTTGTCACCATAGGCTACTAAGGATCTGGAGAACTATGACAAAGAAAGGCATGAGGAGTTCAAGCAGTATGAGATGATGAAAGAGCATGACCGGCTAGAGCATCTGAAGACACTCAATGATGAGGAAAGGAAAAAAGAGGAGGAGCATTACGAGGAGATGAAGAAAAAACATGCAGACCACCCCAAAGTCAATCATCCTGTAAGACTCTATAATAAAGCTATAAAAGATATGTGTCGTCATTGTGATTGTACTTGGATTACAGGGGAGTCAAACCCAACTGAAGGAAGTCTGGGAGGAGGCTGATGGTCTGGATCCAGAGGATTTTGACCCGAAGACCTTTTTCAACATTCATGGTAACTTTTATTGATCAAACTATATTTTATATATTTAGATAAAGATGACCAAGTAGTTTATGATGTCATGAAAAATCAACTTGCATGTTTTCTTCACAATGTAGACACCAACGATGATGGCTTCTTTGATGAGAAAGAACTAGAGGCTTTGTTCACCAAAGAGGTATTTATTGTATTGGGTATAAAGTAGTATCTAAATTGGACTTCTCTATAATCTTGTTGTTTTTTCAGTTGGAAAAAATCTATGATCCTGCTAATGAAGAAGACGATATGGTGGAAATGGAGGAAGAAAGGTTACGAATGAGAGAACATGTTATGAATGAGGTATATATACCACATGACACTGCTTTCTGTGCTGGTTTTGTTTTTAACAGTAGTTAATCCTGATTGTTGTGATTGTTGATGAGAGAAGTGTTCAAAGTGATGTAATAAATATTTTCTCCACAGGTGGATACAAACAAAGACAGACTTGTGTCATTAGAAGAGTTCCTGATTGCTACAAAGAAAAAGGAATTTTTAGAACCAGACAGTTGGGAGGTGATGCGTTGTATAATAGCATTTTTGGCCTTGTATTTCGATGTGAAACAAAAGGTCAATTGGTGTTTTGTGTTGTTCAGACCCTGGAGCAGAATCAAGCTTACACAGATGAAGAAATGAGAGAGTTTGAGGATCATCTGGCTCAACAGGAAAAGGACTTAAACCAGAAGGCCGTAGATCTACAAAAACAGAGACAAGAACTGGAGAAGCAGCAAGAGCAGCTCAATGCTCAAAAACAAGAACTTCAGCAGGTAACCAGCATGTCTGAAAACCTAATGTAAAACCTAATGTAGCATAACAAATAGGAGAGAAATGCCAGAGGCAACATTGTAAAGAGCCAGCACCAGAACATCTGAACTCAGTGAATAAAGTCGCTCATCAATCCTTGACAACACCCTCCAGGCCACAGCATCTTTTCAGTCCAGTATCACATCACACATACACCAACCCGGATGATGACGGTGTTCTGTTGAGTTGGCCTGCCCGTCGAGTTGTGCCGCATACGTCATTTCACTGTCAAATACGGGGAAACTAACACTGCACCTGATAGTGATTCTATCTATGCCAAACGTGACATGTAAATTTCTCCAGTGTGAGAAAGTCTGTCTCATCTTATTGTATAGACTGAAATACTGTGTAGCGCTACTAACAATCATACTGTCCTTTGTTGCTATTAATATGGAACATGTTATGGTGTTTCTGTACTTAAAACACATGCAAAGCAAACGGGAATATCAATGATGATTTTCAACAAGCGCTTTTTGAAGAGAAGTTACTTTACTACATCACCTGAAATGTTCATAAAACTAATTCATTGAATGGATATAGTATGTATAATCTTGTTATACGACATAGAAACATTACAATCCATTCATTAGATATCCCATATCGACCTGTTAGATTCATGTTATCAACCCAGCTGTAAACTAGTGGCTGTCGATTTAGCCCTAGCCACAGCAAGCAGGCATCCCCATGCATCAGTAAAATTGAGTAAATTCTGTCATCAAGAAAAGAGGCAGAATTTAGATTCTCCTTATTAATTTTTATGGAATAAGGCCTCCCAAAGTGGATCACGTACATCACACATTCGCATATACATGAACACTAATTAAGTGTCACAATGGGCCCAGATATGTCCAATGTTGCTTACGAATGAATCAATAATGGGTTAAGGATATGTGTTTGATTACCATACTTTCGTGCTGTTATTCTATGAAATATGAGCTTAAAGGATTGTCTTTCATAGGCGGTTGAGCACATGGAGCGCCTCAAATCACAGAAAATAGAACCACCACAAGAGGTCCATAGTAAGTGTTGATTTTCTTTTAAGTATCTAATTGCTGCTCATTTTCTTTTAAGTTTCATAATATTTGACTGCCGTTGTAGTTGAAGGTAATGCTATTCCAATAGCAGAGCATCCTGCACCAGAAGGCCATCCAGAGAACCAGATTGTGCCTGAAGCAGCTCAGCCTCAACAGCCAAACCAGGACACTGCTTTGCACGGAGCGCCACAAATGCACCATCAGGCTCCAGGACACCAGGAAACTCCACCAGAACAAAACATGTTATAGCACTTAGTTTGAAATCTGAGACTGGGACACTTGACCCACTCCAATTCCTGTGTGACAAGGGGACAATCTTTCCACTTTAACAAGCCTTTTTATCATGTTCTGCTGATCAATGGAGCACCAAAATAATAAATGGAAGAATCATTGTTGGACTTCTATAAAAATTTATTTATCTAAAATTATTAAAGAATTAATAAGAATGAATGAGTTACAATTTTCTAATTTCTCAGACATGTTTATATCAGCTAAAATGTACTCAGATTATTCACCATGGTTTCGACCTCAAAACAACAAAAGTCATTTAGGATATTAAGTTTCTCCTTAATGCAGAATGGAACATCCCATGTTTTCATGGTTGACTGTCTAAGTTAAGGCTCAAGGAGGATGGAGTTCTATTTTGGATGTAGTATACTTTAACAGCTTTGTGCTCTTTTGTGAAATTGCATTTTGGTTCACATTTATTTTGATAGTATAGTTATGTGCAAGTCTTTTGCACTTATCTGTAAATATGACGAGGATGGATTAAACAATGGTTTGGTTTGTAAGAGGTTGACATTTACACAGGGTTTGTATTGTTCATGCACTTACATGATTTATGTCAATCACATTTGATCCTTATTAGATATTATAGATTGTGAAAACCCCATTATACAGATAACTTTATTGAAAATGCTTGCGGTTGCACAAATTTGCATTGGTTATTTCTGCCTTCTGCTGAGTCAAATAAATGTATGAAAGTCATTAGGTTATTTTATTAAAATTGATAAAACAATTCTTGCAAAGACTAATAATATAGCACAACTTTATTGAAACAGTCTTAACCAATGACAGTGTACAAAGTTGACGGTGCAAGAGCCATATGACTGATAAAAAAAAGTTAAAAATTGCTTCATTAAATGTTTAAGAACAAAAGGGAACGGGCAAAGATAATCTTAATGTAAATTGGCAGGGTATTTTTTGCTTTTATTTTGTACAAAAAATAAATTAATGAAATCTTTCAAGTTTACAGGAAAAGCTATGTTATTATATAACAGATACTTGCTTCTACTTGTTAAAATTGACCTAAAAAGACCAAAGCAAGCTGAGTCAGATGAGTGGACGAGGAGTTTGAAACATAACATTATAAAAGTAAGTGTAAAACATTCAAAAGATCCCGAATGTTTATTGTGGCATCTCCTGTACTTATGATCGCAATGCCTGTGTGTTCCCTCGAGGCAGGCCGCGAGATCCTTGAGCTGCTCCCCGTTTGAAGCCTTGCTCCTACAGCGAAAAGTAGGACAATTACTTCACGCAATTAATTCGCACAGAAATTCAAGTATAAACTGGAGCCTTACCCTCTGGTAGCTACTATTGAAGTCCCGAGATGTAGTAAATTGAGTTTGACCATAATTGCTGTTTGGAGCATTTGTGAAAGGAGGTCGGTAGTTTTCATATCCACCTGATGAGGATAAAGAATAAATATTGATCGTCCATTGAGTACCAGAAAGTACAAAACTGGCTTAATTTACCTCTGAAACCATTTGAGGAACCTCTGTAGCCGTTCATCATACCCCGTCCGTTGCGGGGGCCACCTCTGGGTGCACCTTTGCCATTGTAAAACTGTCCGGCCTGGCCAAAAGCAGCACCTCCCGAGGGTTCTTCGTGTCCCCCAGAAGACAATACTTGGTCTTGGGATTGAAAAGCACCAACAACTTGAAAGGGAAAATGTATTATCTTTTGAAATGCCGTGCATGGACATATTAATGGATTGTCAGAGCTGGCCACTTGCTTACCTGCCTGTAATGTTTGTTGTGTAATGTCAGACTGGTCTTTGTTTTCTTGCTGGCCAAAACTTTGTGTGTAGCCACCTGGAAACTGACTAGCCTGTTTCAAGACTTCCACTGGACTCTCCCTAGCAGGGGGCGCCGGGGCACTCATGTTAAACACCTACAAAAAGATTTGGATATTACACAGAACAAAGCAAAGATTGTACAGTAGATAGTGGCTATTGAAATCATATGCAGCAGAGAAATTTTCATGCAAATACAAGGCATACCGCTTGTACGGACTGGAAAGGAGCTGCGTTGACATTGATGCCACCAATGTGGGAAGGTTCGGAGACAGGTGGAAAGGCAGAGGACAGAGAGCAGGGGGCAGGGGACTGCTTAGAGGAAAGAGGCCAGGGCAAGGATGAAGGCAGGAAAAACCGGAAGGGAAAGACACGTTTTATGATGTAATTCAACACATGGACAGACAATTCCCCAGACCAAATGAGATACAGGATTGTGTGTACAAGAACAAGACAATATCTTAATAGGTGCTGCAGTTGGAGTTATCATTTTCTCAAGTTAAGTTTTGTAAAACATTTGAGAGTATTAGAACAATGGCTTCTTTAATTTCACTTTACATGTGCCCAATCCAATTTTATGTTGCAAATTCTTGTCGCATAAAATGTTTAATACAACATACGTGATGCAATCTTGGAAAACCCGTCGGATGTCGCGCTGGCACGTTGAGTAAATAGTAAAAATAGGTCGATTGTCATTCATTTGGCAAAATTGTGTTTTAATTAAATAATTATTATATAACATCTTGTCTTTAATATTTGAAAATATCTAGGTGATTTATTGCATAATGATAGCATAATATTGGCATTATCTAATACATGTATAATGTTCAGTAACTTAAAGAGAAAGACACAAAAAAAGAAGTTACGTAGAACAAATTCAAATACATTGTTGATTTTCATCTCATTAATGAGTGTTGTGTGCTTGCTTAGAGCCAAAGTAAAACATTTTTTAAAATCCCTATCTTAAAACATAGGGACTGAAATAAGTGTGTGCCATAACAGAGTAATTCAAATGTAACATGTTAAATGTGATCGTGGTGATTCTATTTAGAATGTCTATCTTTAAACCTGATTCTCAAAATCCCGTTTCATAAAACCATGTTAATAAGCTGACTTCAGATAATGATAACATGTGTTACAGACATGCTATGAAAAAAAGGAAAACAGATTTGAAAAGAGATTGAAAGCAGTTTTAAGATGGCATAAGAATCTTAAGTTGGTAAAATTTCACCATATGATGGGGTTTCTCAGATCGCATCACATATTTCCAAGATAGTGATATAAAAATATAAAAGACAATTCTGTCTTGAGACACACCAACTCTAGTGAAAACAATAACTGAGAAATTGATGATAAATAAAAAGTGATAGTGACATTGCAATATCAAAACATGATTGTACCACAAAAAACCATGATAGGTCAAAGTAAATAAAAAAGCATATAAAGGGTGTAGTGTAACATTCTGAAGGAATAACAAAACAAGCAGAAATAGACATTCATTGTTGTTTAAAAAACAATGTGTAACTTTGACAAACTTACTTGTGAAGGTTCCTGTTGACTGGTCATTGGACAAGTCTGAGAAACTCTGGCCTCTGCATGTGCTGTATAACAAAATCAAACTTGTTCATTTGATTGAACCATCAAGATGACAAATTATTCAATAAAGTTATCACAGGTACCTAGTTGTAAGTCCATCGTTTGTGCAGGCTTCATTGGCTGCGCAGACACAATAGCAGGGTCCAGGGCCTGTCCATCAAACTCCAAAATAGACTCCTACAATAAGTCACCCATGTTACAAAGAACTCTTGGTGAGGCTTCTGTATCATAACAGAGTAAACACATTCTCCACATCACCTGCATAAAGTTGAAGGTTCCTTGCATCTGGGCCATCAGGTCCTGAACTGCCTGCTTTCTAACCACAGGGTCAGGCGGAGGACATGGGCTGATGGGGTTCACAATAACATTTGGCTCAGGAGTGGGAGCAGGAGAGTGACATTGTAATGAGTTCACCATCTATTCAACAAAAAGTTAATTAGACAAAAATACATAATAAATAATACTACGCTAACAATTAGTACATTTCACCTGAGCCTTCATTTGCCATTCATCTACTTGCTCTGGACTGTATGCAACTTCTGAATTAAACTGCCTGTTAACAAACTGTAAATCAAAGTGTTACTGAACCAATGTCATATTATAATAATAATGTTATTATGCAATAGACAATAAATCGATAATACCTCAGTTGTTTCCACTTGAATAGGTTCTGTACAGTCTTCAGTCACTGTTCCTTCTACAACTGTGGAAATATTCATTAAAATCGTATTTATTTTAAATATTGTATGAAATATTTGTTGTAATGAGATGACTAGGGACCGACCGATTAGGATTTTTTGGAACCGATACAATGGCATTTTTTATTTTTTGGATTGTAGTCTGCCAATTTCTTGTTTGATTGTAATATTTGTGGGAAACAGGTTTACCAAATATTTCAGAAGGAGACATGACATCAGTCAGTCCCTAGATATGACACTTCATCTCTCCAAAACAACAATCTCAATGTTATTCATTTTTAGTCACCAGGTAACAAGTCTTCTTCTTTGGTCTCAATTTCCACCGTCTGCTCCAGTTTGTCTGCCTCCTCGCATGTTCCATTATGATGGCTTTGTGCTTTGTCAAAATAACCACTTGCTAGCACCTTTTCAAGAGAGTCATTCAACAATTTATCTAAAATGATAATATTATTGTTAAAAATCACCATCTTATAGCCGTAGCAAGATGTAATATGACATACAGGTTGTTCCTGCCACTGCCTTGTCTCTGCCTTCAAGTAGTTCCCCCCAGTGTAGTGAGGCTTCTTCATATTGTTCGCTCAACCTGCAAGGTATGTTGATCTTTAGACAAACCTCAGTGTTTTTACTTAAGGCAAGTTGTATTTATTCTTTACCTGACATCATGGTTCCTTTCAGGTCCGACCATTTTGTAAAATTCATCAAGCAAAGAGAGCTCTGCCTCAGTCAGTAGTGGAGATCCCGATGCATCAGGTTGCTTCAGGTCCCTCCGGACTGTTTCATCGCCCAACTGGTCCAGCACAAACTGCAGTTCCAACATACTCTTAAACCGCTGCTGCTCAGCCTCCTCCCGAAGCAGCTGTTCTCTCCGCGCAGACTTTTTTACTGCCTTTTGAACCTGCCAAAAATGTTAGAAAGTTATCATCATTACTGTTACCAACTGAAATATTGGTTAAAAAATAACTCACTTCTTGGCCCAACATTATGAAGCTTTTTTGCAATTCCCGACCAAACTCAAGGTTGTTTAAGACCTCTTGGTACTTTGTCAAGGCATCCTTAAGAAATTATAAACACAGAATGTTTTTGTTTTGCTTTTTCATTGCATGTATACAGGAAAAAGATCCCTACTGATACTTTTATAATCATCAATCAAAACAAGTCATTTTCTTTCAGCCATAGCTCACAGATACATGCAACAATACAATTATAACCATAACAACCAGAAGTACACTCACCAGTTGGTCCTGATTAAGTTTTTCCCCTTTGTTCTTCTTAGCCTGGTAGTCGTCCAGTTTAGACTGCATATGCATCATAACAATTTAATTATATGAGAAATGCATAGTCATGTTGCAAGTATCACAGCAACAAACTAGATTTTACCTTTTTCTTTTCCATGTTGCGAACCTTCTTATCAATAACTCCAAGAACCTGCTTCATGGTCTCTGTGTGACTTCCATTCCCCAAGTCAGGAGTGGAACACTGGGCAGCATTATTGCCAACTGTCACTGAAGGCATCTGCAAAAAGACAATAATTCCCCAAAATATTCTGTGTATGAAATAAAAGGGCGACGTACAGCAGATTGTTTCTATAATTGTCACGAGGTTCGTTGAGAATTGTCAAGTAAAAATTACATTTGCTTTGTATTACTATCCTGTTTAAAAACGTCAACATGAAGGGCACGTCCTAGGTTTCATTTCCTGCCTGAATCCTGGTTCACAGAGACTGAATGATCATTCAACGTTCGGTTGTATAGTAGCTAGCTAGCTTTAAAAACTAACTGGATATTTTGTCAATTAATCAATGATCAAGTTAACATCAGAAGTTATACAATTTAGAGAAGAGATCAGTTGATAGACCTGAGGTTGTGCTGATGGTGTATCAGATGTAATGCTAGCCCGTTAGCTCGTCTCAAGCACTAATCTCAGTGTCCTATTGTTAGCAGAGAGGCTAGCCACCGACTGAAGACGAAGGCAGTAACTGCCATATAACTGCATGTCAGCTGCCGTAATATTGGCAGGAATACATATTTTATGTTCTGAAAAGGATACACAATAAAAATGTCCACATTGTAATCCCTCTTATCTCCACGGTTAGTGTTATCCATGCGCTGCGACAACTCGCATTGTTCAGTGAAAGAACTATTTCAACTTTGATCTAACGTTGCAAGTGACAAGAGTCCCCTACCTTTATACTCTTTGTCTTCAAAGAGCTTTCCTTAAAGAGGTTTAACGTGAATAGTCTGGAGATATGTTTAACTTTTATTTTAGAGGTATTTTTGATGGATGCTGAGAATCTCGTCGTGATGTCTGTTCAAACCTCTGTTCTGACCTAGCAGCTATCAGCAGCTACAAGGACCCTCAGTCACCCGGATGTTGCCTGAGCATAAGTTAACACAACATAAACACATTTACAGTCTATGATACTCATACAGATTTAATGTACCCACTCTTAGTCATGTTACCATTAATCTGAAACACATTAGAACTAAAAGACACACAGCATTCCAATATTGACGTACATTTGTAGACAAACTCTTTGCTGCGATTAGCTTTAATGAACAGCAGATGGCGCTTGCGGGCTACTTTCGCTAATCAAAGGAAGTTATCAAGGTAAGCACATGGATTTAAAAAAGCACTAATAAACGGAATATGAATAACTGTAATTTGGTCAAAATTATAACGCAGTGTGAACATTGTGAGTGTTATGGATGTACATTTAACATGTATGGCTCTTTTATGTTGAGCATGTAGCTATATTATTTGCACACATGGTAGGGGTAGGGTGTACACTACAGGGTCTGGTTCATAAGTCTTGTTCCGCTCCTCTTTCAGACCTGTGTTTTAATTACCAGTGGGGTAAGTTCATATGTAAATACATTTTGATAATCGTTCCCATTTTGAGCAGCATGATCAATGTGACAGATTAGGTTAGGTTTTCTAGTGGTGAAATCACATTTTGTTTAATGCAAATGTGGGCTCTTGGTTGCATTTTCTAATGTGGCCAAAGTGGCAAAACAGACATGTGCTCCTGAATCCAGGAGTGCTCCTGAAACTTGTGGCCACATATGTCTCCCTAGATTTTCTCACGACTTTTTTGTTTTTTCTGATTTTTGTGGTTCTACTCTAAATTAGTAAAATGATTGGTCTGTGTATACTGTGATTGAACATGTTTATGTACTATGTAATGTACATAACTATGCTTCTTTTGTAAGTATGTGGTGCTAATAACCCCCTGCTCCAACACAAATTTCCCCCTCTGGAGATGAACGAATAAATTAAACTGACACTGATATAAAAATCTTCTCTAGTAAAAGTAAAACCAGTTGTGTTTCCTGAGATACAAAAGAGAACGATTGGATCATTCCCTTGAGATTGTATTTAAATTTAAAAATAAATAAACTAAAAGTATAACAGTTCAAGATTTAGTATTTGAAAGCGTTGAATAATACATTAGTTAGAGATATTTTGACATGCCTTTGCTTTTAAACACCTAAACATACTGTTATAGACATTTTCCAACCAGACACAGAATTTGACTATAAATGAAACGTGTAGAACTGAAGCAGAATGGCAGAATCTGATTCAGACTCCCACCGCTGTCAGCCTTTGCGTGCCGAGGTCTGAACATATGTAGGTCCACTTCAATAAATAAAGTGGGATTGTCAGACAAACAGTTTATGTTACTTAAAACAAGCTTTAAATTCCTATACTTTAAATTCGGACTGGGTGACAGATGCGACAGATGACATTGTTTAATTTGTACAGGTGCTGACATCACAACAATAATCCAATGCATTGGTTGGTACGCTGCTGTTTACACTGGATTTGCACAATAAACTACAAAGGCTCCAAGAAGAAAAGGAGAACCTGCATAGAAACTGCACCTGACTTAATTATGGGATTTTAACAAAATTATAAAATTGTCGATTTTAAAATAGAGGGCCAAATGATCAATATAATTACATTTATTGCCCAGCCCAACTATACATTATTTTTGACAGAGAATATGACATCAAACAAAACAGCTATTTAAATATGAATGCAAACCAGTCTTTCCTAGTTACTCAAGGGAACTTAATTTCTCAAAACCCCCCCAAAAAGGAAAGATTATAAGAATGTGGTATAAGAAAGTGTCTCCATACTTGGTAAATGGTATACACTACCAATAAAAATTCACCACAAAAATGTATAACCTCTCTCGATGGTGAAATAGTGTCATATCATTAAGTATTACCTGTAATCCCCAAACACATCTTCTCACCTACTTAAGAATGATTTAATCTATAACCATGTCATAGTGCTGGTTTGATACTGAAATATTTAGACTTTGAAGTTACTCACTGAGTGTCCTTAGAGCATGAAGACACACAGGCCGCATATGTCTGGTTTGCGTCCTTCATAACTCCTCTGTCATAACTCCTTCGTATCCCAGTTTTCCCAGCGCTTCTGGTGGGACATTAGCACATGAAGAGAAAGTGTCTGGAGCCTGTCAGCATCTCTGCAGACCATAGTTATACAGGCAGACTTAATTTGATCAAGTCTGATTGCTATTTCAATGGTAGGAATAACATGTAGCCTTGTGCCTGTTGTCCGCACCCAGCCCTGGCTGCCATTGAGATGCTTTATACAGTGAGTGAAGTCTGTTGAGCTGGTAGAGGGTAGGTGACGTAGAGGTGCTCTGTGGATGATCTGGGGTCAGGCTCAAGATTGAGGGCGAAGAGCTTTTAAGGGAAAGCCAACATTTTGACATTACACAAACCATCCATGACAACCTGTGGAGGTATTCATAGCAACATGCACTTTAAGATTTCACTGCTGGATCAGAACTAGTTGCATTCACAAATTTGACACGGGAAGAAAGTCATCCACTGAGCCGCAACAGGTTTCTGTTGAGGTTAAGGTTGCGTGTGAACAAGGGGTCGAGTGGTTTTCTCTGATCCACGTCTCCAGTAACTAAAAGATTGTGTCATGTCTCAAAATAGTTTATTTATACTTCTGTAATGAAAGGTTAGATGTGCAGAGCCACAGACTCCGTGTTTTTCTTGAAAAAATAGAATTTTTAGACGTTTTTATATATATAACTAATACATTTTCAATACTCAACCCAACTTATGAGGAAAAAATACCTCAAAAATTAAATTGACATTTTCCTAAGTCATAAGAAATGGCAGTTGCGTTTGAGGAGATCTTTCAATTTAGATATTGGCATTAGACATGCATCTTAATCATTTTTCACTTCCGTTTAATAATCAACTTGATGAAGTCATGACTTGAATACGAGATGGAGCTGATGACGGCTACTGGGATTAGATTGAATGAGATACAGTATGTCATCTTAAATTACCATAGGCCATACAATATACCATAAACATTACCTTAAATTTAAGAAACTTTTTATTCATCCCACAATGGGGTGATTTCAGATTACATTTCTGCAATAGAATTTTAGTAAAACAGGAATGTTTTGTTGAAATAGATTCATCAAAGTCATTTTGATGTGAAAGTATTTAGTATAGAATTTTTAAAAATACAATTACATTACCTTTATTCCTCCCTCAGTGATAATTGATAATATACTGTAGCTATAATTGCACTTGGGTCAAACGTAAGTGCGCTTTTGGAGTAAACACTGTAATTCGCAGTCATGAGCTTTGCCATATACTTGATGGTTAATATTGTACTTTAGCAGCAGAAAATATGACCAGAATAAATAATAGTAATAATAGCAGCAGGTAAAGGGACTAGTGAATATTCAGTGAATGGCACATGTACAGACTTGGCAGTTCTCGCTGTACAGTCTGATAGCCACAGGAAGGAAGACATGCGGAACCTCTACTTCACACAACCAGTGTGGATCAGTCTGTCACTGAGCAGACAGATAGTCCTGCAGGGGTTGACAGTCATGGTCCAGTATGGATGTTTGTTTGTCCAGGACCTTCCTGTCTCCCACCTGCTGCACTGTGTGCAGGGGACAGCCCAGGACATGGCTGTACTTCCTGATGACCTTGTTTAGCGTTGTTTTGTCCCTGTCTGTGATGCTGCTGCTCCAGCAGAGTACTTCGCACAAGAGGCTGATGCCACAAGAGATTCATGGAAGGTTTTCAGGAGTGGCCCCTTCACTCTCAAAGACCTGAGCCTCCTCAGCAGGTAGAGCCTGCTTCTGAATGCCAGCCTATTTCAGAACAGGTACTCCCACAGTGCCAGCCATTTCTGATGATTTTTACTGATTTTTCAAGACCCACAGAATATTGTGTACTATGACTATCTGAAATCCGACACCAGATTCTAAAAGAATGGACTGTCTACTTTCCTCAGCAAAAAGAATTTTGTTTATAGCTTTTTTCGTTCCCCTGTAATCCTCCGTCGAGTAGAGGGAAGTTTTACTGAAATCACCAGAAATCACCAGAAAGTTGAGAAAAAAGAGGCACAACATGTGCACCTACATGTTTTCAAACCATTCAGAGAGCAATGCTGCCACCTGCTGGCTCGATAAAATATGGTCTCAAGTCATCCCCATACATATTAGATACAATAGACATCTGGGAACGTGAAAATAGCGAAAAAGGCATTTGACGTATTAATGCGTCAATGGGACACAATGAGTTAAGAGGGCGTCTTTATTATGAGGTTAGGGCTGACACCAGTCCACAAACTCCTGTGCTCTGCGTCATTGACCTCCAGTGATAAGTCCGATGATGGCAGAGTCATCAGAGAACTAACCTCAGGTTGAGATTCAGATTGATGACATGCCCGATAACACCTCAAAGTTAATCGGCTCCAGAGCTAAAGAGCCTGGTGCTGATATAGTCTGGTCCTGAAGGGGGGGGGCAATGTCAGAAGTGTGAAAGCCAGGTCTCTGATATGTCTTTGTTGTTTGCACGACACATAAATAAATTATTTGTTTATATTACACACAAAATGAAGAGAAGAAAACTAATGGTTCATGTCTAACAAAGAAGGCTGCCTCATGTGTCTGGTCCATTATGTCTTTGCAGATGCAGTGGTATCAGTGTGTGTGACTGTGCATCTATTGTAAACCATGGTTTAGAAAATTAGACTTGGCTACTTTCCATCATCACTCACTAAATTGTATTGGCTTTCAAAACCCCACACTGTCTGAAAGTGATAACAGCAAAGTCTGTGATCACATTGAAAGCATTTAAACTGTGGTGAAAATACACAATTTTAGACATCTGAAAGTGATTAATTTGATGAGCCTAATGTCTGTGTTAAATTTAAGTCTCTGCTAGATTCTAAGGTAGCAGTTTAACTAAAAAGATGACTGTACCTCTAAATTGAATGTTTAACGTTCCATGGGATGGATTTCAAAATCCCCAAAACTGATAGAGCAGTGTGGTGGTCCCTCTGTTAAAAAGAGGGTTCCAAACTGCTGGGAAATAACACTCAGCCTTTACAATGCTCTGTTCAGCGAGTGTTCTGGAAGAAATGTTTATATGAGTGAGGCTTTAGAGAGAGCGGTAGAGGCTTAACTCAGAATAGAGCTGCTGCTCCGTCCTCCATCACTAGGCGGTACCTCAGGAGGAGGCATTTGTTTTGGGTGAGGAACACCTTTTGAGGAGCATTCTGGTTGTAGCGGCCAAAACTCACCCTGCAAGGTCCGCTGGATGCAGTGTGTTGGCGTCTCGGAAATACTGTGTTCCACAATCCTTTATTGTTGCCAAGTACACAAATATTAAGCTGTGGTAACAAACAACGGTCGAAAGATGTTTGCCTCCACACTACAACACCTGTCTGTCATTAGTGCCCCACTTATATAGGGCATACTATCTAGGTGGCGCCACTCCACACAGTGGCAGGAGGCAGCAAAGGAAAACATAGGAAACTGGCTCCAACACACCGGCCCCTTAATTGTGAAAGCCAGGAGCTAAACAATTACAAAATTCAAATAAGTTTACATGGAGCCATACTTTGACTTAGCAAGTTTGTCACATTGGGAACACATTTTTCAAAATACACAACATTTCAATGTCCACATATTCAAAGTCATTGTTCAATACACAGAAAATACATTTGGCATTTAATATCCATCCTGTTAAGTTTCATTATTCAAAACTATTTCCAGCGCTTTCTTTTGAAAGCTTTGCGCAACTTTAGCTTAAACATTTTGCTGGCTGAAAGCACATACAGAATCCAAAGACAGTTCACGAGAACAACAAAATAAAAATGAGTGTTTCTTACAAAAGCATTGTTGTGCTTGCTTTTACTACGCCACTGTGGAAGTGGAAAAATCCTGGTGTGGCCTGGTGTGACGGTGACCATGTCTACATGGCTGCAAGGCAGTCAATAAGACAGGAACAGCAGAACTTTCCTGCTCTTCATCCTCTGTACCGTCCATCTTTTTCCATGAGTATGTCTCAGTGTCCAAATCCAATGTCACTATTTGCTCATGGTCCATAAGGGAAATCTCAAAGTCCTCCTGATGCTCCTGACATACTGGTGAAGATGAACAGTTCACATCAGCCATTTGTGTAGCACTACCGGCCTCTGTTGGCTCAAGCACATCCACCAAAGTGGGAATGTAAACTGGTGGCTCCCAGTCAAATCCATCCCAGTCATCACCGGTCCCAGTTGGCCCAAGTGAACCCACCAAAGTGGCTCCAACACACTGGTCGTGTACCACTTTGATGAATAAAGTCCTCAAAATGTTCCAACTTGGATCCTAAAATCCTGATAACATTAACTGGAGAGGAGACACAAGTGAACACGCTCATAAGCAGAAGCCTTATTGTGCCTTGCTAATTCCTTTATTCTGTTGATACAGTTCCTATTCTGTCGGGTCATCCCAATTTTCTGTCTATTCTGAAAAAATAAATGAAAGACGGAAAGAGTGGTTGGGTTTTAATCAGGCAGTGGAAGGAACAGTGAGGTTTCTCACTTTTTTCCCCACTGGGTTTTTGTGAGTTTTTCCTTGCCGATGCAGGAGGGTCTGTTGGGCAGTTAGTGTCCAACTAGAAGGACTGTGGTGATGATCCAGGACACTTTAACATTCTTCAACATGTATGGACATTTATCAACATTCATGGACATTGGTCTCTCGGCCAATTCATATGTGTATATTTTGTGTGTTAACTGTTGATTCTCTGATCTGTGTTGGTGATTTCAACGGTTTTGTTAATTCCTCTGAGATGACTTCTGTCGTGATATAGGGCTATACAAGAATAAGTTGTTGTTGTAAGTTGTTGTTCTCGCAGAGAAGTCAGAGGAATAAAGACATGCAGATTAGTAATTGTTAGACAGTCTGTAAAGCATTAGAATGTACAGTGAGTTCGTTAATTAGTAACTTCTTACCATGGTGGGGAGTTGGTGTGCCTGGATGATCTCCTATGTTAGTCCTTCTCAATTTGGGCGTGTATTGCAATTCTTGGGCGGGTGAGTGACC